AATTATAAAATAAAAGAAATGAAATGATAATTTTGATTTAAATATTTAAAATAAGCTTGTCTACTAGTCCATGAACAGTTGACAAAAAATTGAAACATTGTTTCACAAAAATTAATACTCTTATTTGATATAATACTTAGATTGACCAAATATTTATCTGTGTTTATATTTACCTTTGCCAATAAATTAAGCTGTTCATTTAAATACTTTGATGACAATATTGCTGCAACAATGACACTAAGTGCACCTAGTGGAGTAACCACTGAAGCTGGGGCAAAAGCGTAAGCAGCAAAGTTAAATACTTCTCCAAAAGCCACTAATAAATAAAACAAATCATTAATAACATACAATTTTGGTTAAACGAAAAAAAAAATGTCTTACTCATAGATAAACCAAACCACCATAACCAATTACTTAAGTATCCATATCCACCATTAGCTGCTCTTCGTCCACTCCCTAATGATATTTGAACAAGAGCTTTTTTCTTTATAATAAAACTTGCTCCTAGACAAATAAGACAATTAATTAGGTTAATAAATTTGATATAATTTAAATATATAATAGGTATTACAGATACAATTCTAAAATATTAAATAAATTAGTTAAAAATAATACATAATTAATAAGTAACAATTTTCTATTATTTATTTATGCGAGCTTAAACATGTTTAAATTTATAACAATTAATATATAATAAATTATAATATCATAAATAGTTAAATTGYATGTTGGCACTAATCAACAAAGCTAAGTAATCACTATATGATGAATTGATGATTAATAAAATCATATTTTTAATAGTAAAAGTACAATTTRATTTAAGCTTCTTTATTTTAAATATATAGCATATAACATTAGAATCAAAGGTATGAAAGAACTAATCATTATAGATAGCAACAGCCTTTTGGAAATGAGAGCAATTAAATTTTTTTAATAATATTCTTAATTTTTTGAAAAATAAATGTTGTGTACACATAAAAATTACACATCTTAATAACACAATACTAACAATACTATAAGTAAATAGATGTTATTTTAT